CAAACACTAACAGGGCGCCTCCCGAAGGACATTTTGAGGAATAGAAGGAAAGGAATTGTTTCCCTTTGATCCTAATGGAATCCCTAAGTCTCTCTGAGCCTGTTAACATCTTCACTTCAGCATCTTTGAGCTGATGATCATCTAGAGCTCTTCTGCTCTTTTCTTAGCTTAATGTTGTGTTTGTAACTTGCCTCGTTTTCCTCCTACATGTGTTTCTGTGTTCAGTCGGTTTATGTGTTTGCAGGTCCTTTGCATCTCTTTATGAGATTGCATCATTCCTCCCTTGCTGCGTTTTTCCTTCATGTGTCTTTTGCTCATTACTCCAATTTTTTATTCCATTAAAAATATATCGTATATTATGTATGTTTAGCTTGTCTATTGTGTTACATCCTAAGAAAAAGCCATGAAGTTTGCTATTATCTCCAGATGAAATGTGTTCTAGGGGCGTCCCTGAATTATTGGAAACTAAAAGCAAAGTGTGACTGTGTGGAACTAGTTTTCCCAGCTTGTTGCTGCGTTTTCTTCCCATGCTTCGCTCAGCGGTGTTTAAATAAAGCGCTCATGGCTTTGCTGCTGAAAGCTGCAGCAAACAGCAGTGTCCTTGCTGCTTTTGATCTCAAGCTGTCACATCACCAGCTAGGATCAGCTACTGCCGACTGTTCAGGAAAAATGAAGAGATTCATATTTGATTTTAAAAAACACAGCTGTGATGTCACATAATCCTGACTGCAATAGGAGCTGATAGCAGCCAATCATAGTTCTAGTTCAGAATATTGCTTTCCCATGGAGGTAAATCTCTCTGCAAATACACACAATGATGTCAGGCTGACCCTGTAGTAGTTTTTCTATTTGAAAAAACAAAAATAAACAAAGACGAAATCACATTTGCAAGGTATGAAGAATGAATATGAACCTTTCCTTTCTGGAACAGTTGCAAGTTGAAGACCCAATTTGGAGGCTGATCAGGTCCATGGAGGCTTTAGGATCACAGAACTTCTCTTTTGAGCTGGTTAAACTCATACTTTCAGTGATATAAAGTTTAATTATGCATAATTTTATTTTTTTCTTGTGTTTTGTATGTAAAAATCCGCTTAAGCTGTATTAGCATGTGAACATTAATCTATAGTCAAGCTTCCAACTCAGCAATAAAGATAATTAATTAATTCCAGTTCATGTTCTCCTTTGAAGGTCAAACTTTTTCATCAAAATGTCCCATTTTCGAACAAATAATCCATCCAATTTAACTGAAAATAATTATAGAAAAATACTATTTTATACATATTAAAGGAAAAGTTTGGTCATATTCAGATAGTGATAGTGACGAAAATTATTATTTTTATTTTCTTACTGATTAACTCCAAATTCATTAAATCACCAGCGTATTAGTTTTAGGAATAGATAACGATCCGTTGGTCATTCCTTGCTGACCGGACTTTTCCTTTAAAGGTTCAGGGACAGAATGGAACATGCTGCATGTCTGCACTGATGCCTATAGGTGAAGCTGGGATGTGAGGAAGAGAGAAAGTGGAGATGAAGCCAGTCCAGCTGCTCCGTCTGCTCAAAGTAAGACAGTAAAGCTCAAAGTATGCAGGCTGGGTTTGATCAAAGTCTCTAAAAATAGGAGCTCCAGAAGTCTTGTTGATATTAAAGAGGGAGAAATAAAACTCCTAAGAAGCGAATGTGTGCAAATCATTGGAGGTGAAAAGCTTCAGGCAGATCTCAGTCAAATGAAGATGAGCCCAATTTAGGTAATTCAATTCACTTTAAAGTGTCAGAGGAGGCTGCTGTAACCATCTGTCTCATTTTCACTGCAATTATCTGCCTTTGTACTGTACAGTTCAGACAGCTTTATAACAGAAAATCACTCCCATCTACCTTGTTTGGATGGAAATAATGAGGTTTGCAAGAAGCAGAGTGGAGAAAGAATAGAAGTCTATAACCTGAATTAACCAGACGTATGTGATTTAGATGCAATCGTGCACTAAAAGTACTTTCTTCTTCTTTGTTCTTTAGCTGCACCAAATAAAGTATTCAGATTGGCTGAAGTTAAACATGAAACATTATTTACTCTGCTTATTATCAGAGGTGTCAAGTAACAAAGTACAAATACTCCGTTACTGTACTTAAGTACACTATTAAGGTATCTATAATTTACTCCATTACTTATTTTTCTTCCGACTTCTGACTTCTACTCATTACATTTTCACACAAGTATCTGTACTTTCTATTCCTTACATTATTAAAACAAACGTTACTCTTGGCTTCAGTTTAATTTTTATAAATATTTATTGCCTCCTTCATAAAACAACCAACTATCGTCAAACTCTAAGAGCCTTTTTCACTATTTTAAATATCAATTGCCTTTAAACCTGAACAATGCATATTGCTGGAGATGAAACACCTGCAGCCATAAAGCTCATGGTGCTAACAGGTCAGATGCGAATCAGCAGCAGGTGGTGTTGTACGGATGAGGCGTCTCACCTTGCTGTTGCTACGGACATCCAGCCGATGCCAGCGCCTGTCTGCCACGTCAACGTTTCCCGGCAGCTGGAGCACCAGCGTTCCCGAGCCGTGGTTGATTTTCAGCGTGGGAGTCCCGTCAATTAGCTCTGGGTGGAAAACCAGAGAGGAAACATGAGAGATGAGAAGTCCTGAGGTTTAACCATCTTAACATTTGAGATTCAAATAGTGAAGAACAGTTTGGTTCATTTATATTAGCTCTCTGTTTTGTAAAAGCTGTCTTTTTCATCTTGACAGTCAACAAGCATCAAACAAAACTTATTGTCTATTTTCTGACTTACTCAAATGGGAAATTAAAAGTTAATGAACTGGTTAGGATAGCTGGTGTGTTTTGCACCTTATGTAAAAGATTATAAGAAAGTGTTTGTACCAAACTGCACTGACAATCCATCATCATGCAGGCTACGCTCCACAAGTTCATGTGAGGAACAGTTACTCCAAAGCATCATGAAATCTGCTTTCTAAGTCCACATTTATTCAGGCAGAGCTTTTTACCTTCGGAAAGCTCCAATAGTTACTGTGTGCTGAACACACACACAGCATCATGTGTTTTCTCCCAGGAGTTGTTCGTTTACAGCAGGTTTTAAATGGTGTGAACAAATTACCGTTATTATTTTGATTATGGCCATCTCAACCATGTGGATATGAAAAAGTATGCCTACAGAGTTTATTGTAAGCTTTATCTAAACAAGTTTCTCTCTGAAACATTATCTCAGGTGACAATATTCTCCTTCCTTTCTAACGCCGAGGATAAACTGTACAATGTTTTGCCCTTATCGAGCCGATTCTCCAGTCTTGCGAGATATTTTTTCAGCTCGGGCTGAGTTTAAGCCTCATAGTGCTTCCTGCATTTAGTGGTATACAGCTCAACCCCCACCCTACCCCATTACAAGAAAATAGAAGACCTTGCCTGTTCGGCCAGGCCAACAATTCCCTTCAATGACCCCCCTTTCAGAGACATAGACAGGTTACAGACTAACAAAGACACCAAACAACTCCCCACACTGGAAAAAATCAAAATCTAGATAAGTAATTTTTTCTTAAAATAAGTACATTTTTCTTGAAATGAGGAGGTAAAAGAGACATCTTGCCAATGAAACAAAACAATTTACACTTAAAATAAGAAAACACAACTGCATGGTCTTATTTCAAGTGCA